GGGAAATGACATCTCGTTCTATGTGAAAGGTTAGGCGTCACTTTCCCGTCCTAGATTTAACGTTGAGTGGGTCACAATATTGTCTTCCTGGGCCGCAAGACGAATAATTTAGAGCGCATTTATCCTATCGGTGCGCAGTTCTGTCTTCGCGGGTATGTCGTGCTAGAAGAGCAGAATACGGATGAGGATGAGGACGACGATTACGAGACATGCGTCTCTACGCCTACTGTCGAAAGTAGATAGGCTGTTATCACCAAATGTTCTGTTGTGGCCGCTAGCCTCTCGAATGAATCTGGCGAGCAAATCAGTCAAAGCTTAAACTTTTTGAGAAAGCCTAACCAAAGCTTCCTTCGTCCCCTTGAATACTAATGCTAAAACAGCGCAATTGGAACAAGCTATAGAAGTTCATTTAGTGGGGTGTCGTGTTAACTGTTTTCGTTCTCTACCAGGACATCCGGCCAACTCAGCTTGAGCGCTGTTGAATCAAGACTCCACCTAACAAATTTTCTTATTTTTTAGGACAGCCAGCTAACGTAGAAATACTTTGACTCAATACATCATCAAGCGATATTGGCATCGACCAATTCTCAAAATTAGTAAAGCAATTTTCTAGACATGTTCGTGGTCAACTTGCTTGCTGAAAATTGAAGTAGTGCATTGCTGTAAATTTATGCTGCCAGACCGACCTTCTTAAAGTGGTTTAGACACCGGTCAGATGCTCACGCTAATTTAAATTTTTCATGAGACTCGCGTGTCCACACTGCTGAGCGCGACGCGGATCAATTTAAAAACCGAGCAGCTAGTCAGCGAAGCAATTTAGATGGTACGTAGTAAAATAAGTGGCATTATTTGGACAAGAAAGCGTTTGTTAAACCTTACAATTGATGGGCCGAGAATTTTTATCCGTGGCAGCCAACCCAATGTATCGAAATAAATATTTGCGTAGAAACGGTTGCTAGCTGCATTGACACAGAAGTGTATTCAGTCTAATTTTTAAAGATCAGGGCAAGAAAAGTAAACGTGTGAGCTCCTTTTTTCACTTTAAAAATTGCATCGAGCAAATTGTAGACGAAAAAAGGAGCGGATCGGGTTCAGTAACATTAGTTGTCAAATTTGGAGTACGACAGCATCCGCCTTCGTCAATCGCATAACAGCCTACACTAATAATTTTATTGACATCATTTTATGAGCAGCGTGGATCAAATTCGAAAAGGAGAGAGCGAAGTGAAGATGAAAGACTATGCAGCATATTTGAGCTTGCTTTCGACACTGGGATTGTGGAGCACCTGAATAATAGCCTCATTGCCAATACAACAGGCATATAGTGCATGATAGCTCACGACCGCTGCAACAGGACATGCAGCGATTACAGAGGGCTAATTTCTGTATTATTAACACCGATTTTGTGTACTTCTTGATATATACGGAGGCCAAAGATCCTGATGGTGCAAACCGAAAGTACTGCAGAAATCTGTAAAAATGTGAGACATTTTGTAGCCATCAGCTAAAATATCGGGTATTGGAATCTACCTTCCAAAAAAAGCTCCGCCGATTAGGTTAAATTCTATCACGGAGCAGATTAAAGCCCCGGCAGAGGCTCTACGTCGATCACATATCATCAATTATTGTGCGTTCATTCTACGTCGTCGAAGTTCAGTAAGGCGACAATGTTGATGTGGAATGAACTTCGTTTTTCGCTCTGCGGGCGCCCACTCGTGCTCCACGTAAAAATTCTACTCTGAAGCAGTTCCGCATCATGACTCTTGCTGCAAGGGTACAGCGAGGGTGGTTGTTAAGATCAAGCAACAGCATAACCTTAAGAAGATAAAAAATTGTGCTAGCATTTTTCTCGGTGGCCCAGAACTGCTATTACAGATACAATGCGAAAAACGCAGGCAAGAAATGTGGCAGGACATAGCATCGTAATTTCCACGTAGGGACAAAAAGGGCTTTTCGACCGTGCGTAGATCGCCTAAACAAATGCCAAAATTTTCTCAAGTAAATAGAACCAGGGATGCTTCTTTTCATGCTCCATTATTCATCATAGATAAGGAAGATTCTATCAACCTTGTGTTTTGAGCCCTAGAGGCATGGACTGCGGACAGGAGCAAGGTGTGCATGTACGATGGTCTCATACATGTATCAAGAGCGGACTACGATGATCATTAGTCGTAGTGTTGCATCGATGGTTGGGAGGGGTGGAACATGCGCAATATCGCGAGTTCTATAAAGTGACTATTTTCAATAGAATAGTTGATGTGAGCCATTCACAAGAAAGCGCCTACGATAGGAATAACTTTCTTCTGCAGTGTATATATCAGCACAAATTAGTTGGCAATCACATTTTGCGGTTTATGTACATTGAAGATATCAAGGCTGACGCAGTTATGCAGGACGTACCTAATTAAAGCATAATTATTCGACTCCAATGTTATTTTGAAGAGCCAAATGACATCAGACTTACCCAGATACGTACACAGATGTGTTACTCCTCACACTGGTCAATTAAAGCCACCTACGTTGAGCAAGCGCTCGCTGAACTATGTCTTCAGAAGCTTTTTTTGGTACTTAAGGCATCCTTTAGGCACCTGTAAATTTGCATGAGGTTTATTTAATTGTCCTACAAAAGACTGTTACGGCGAACTCTAACATTTTAAACGTATCATTCTTTTCAACAGGTCATCCACGACGCATTTAAAAAAAGGCTAAGGTGGTCCATGTGGAAACGCAAACTTTCCGCAGTAACAAGTAAAAACAAGTGGAAGGTCTATGGAGTCAAGGCAGAGGGTCGGTGTCAGTCGGTAAGCCATTACTGACTGATTGCAGGAACCCAAAATGGTAGATAAGACGCGTCAATGAAGTTAGAGCAGAGCTATTTTTTTCCTAATTGCGATCATCGAATATCGGCATTATTTTACCTCTACCTGATTGGATCAAAGATACGACAAAACTGGAAGTGAATCAATACCCAACCCCAGGCGAGCGGCAAATGCGAAATTACTGTAATTTGAACCCTGTATCAAAAGATGCGGGTGTCTAACGATCGCCGAAGCGCTTCTTGTCAAAAGATCAACTTTAAATTCTTACCAGGAGTGAGAGAACGTTTTTCGCAACGAATGCATTGACCCTGGTCGTCGTGTGCTATTATCAGCGTAGGCAACCTTTTATCCGTCTACAGTACACTGTTGGATTGTAGAATGATGCCTGAAAATTTTGGCTTCAATCAACCACACCCCACATTAGGGATAGGACACAATAAATTTAGCGGCTTCGACCAAGGATGAGGGGCTGCCAGAGTTATTAGGATACTTCACATATTGTACCAAGTCTTTGGCGATCAAAATCAATCAATTTTAATTCCTCTTGAAATGGACATCATGTGTTCAATGAGTGAGGAATCAGAACACTCATTTAAACTCGACCGTCAACAGGTGTTGCTGATGCACCCGTAAATTTTTTAAAAGATATTCACTTGTACGAGGCGGTCAGTCGAATCCTCGACTCTATCTTCGCAACCGGCTCGCATTTCGGACGGTCGTATCAAAACACTAAGTGGTCTGGAAAGTAGAACCATTTGTTTTGGCATGTACATAAAATGAATTGGTAGATCAAAAAATTCCAGAGGCCAAACCAGTTTGTAATATGAATGAATTACGCAATGAACGCTATGCAAGATAAACACAGAACGGCGCGAGAGATTCTTCGCAAAAGGAAGCAGCTCGTTCAGGCCAATTTGATTACACTCCAGGTAAAAAGTGTGATATGGTGAAGAATGAATTTGAGCGCACGACGTATCGATTGCAGGGGTACTTGATTAGGTTCGCCCACTGGGAGGCGGACAAAAGTGTAATTCTCATTTAGCGTATTCGTGGAGATTATTCCTACGCAATTTTTTTGTAGCAAAGTTTTTTATGACGGGATTTGCTTGTCTTGGGGTGCAGTCACAATACAATTTCGCAGCACATTCACCAGAACGTACTTTAGACGTTCGTCTTGATATATGTGGACCTTAAATGACTCAAGGGGATGATGAGCGCTCACCCCAGTCAATTTAGCTATCCAAAATGATTAAGGCAGTTTAAGAGCATGACCGACACGAAGCGGAAGGATAAATGGGCTTAACATATCTTTTACATGGACATTCAAGCTACGTGGTCTCACGTCATGCTTACAATATAATTAAAGTACATCGCGGCAAGGGGACTTTTTAATGCACCTAGGCATATGCCAATGTATTTCTTCAATCTGGGTACACATACGTAGCGAGGGTCCTGGTGGATCACTTCCTGTTATATGAATCGACCTATAGGCGATGCCATCGAAGATTCGTCCAGGGGTGCCAAAAGATGAAAATGTTGATGACGATACTGGCAGCATAAGCCATATCTGCAGATAAGCTGGCGTTAATTGATCACAGACGGATGATTAAAGTGTAAAATTTAAGGAAAGTATGCAATAAAATATGTCAGGGATACAACTTTTTGGATCGGTTTGACTCTTTGTTGACTTTCATTTGGATGATAAGAAAACTGCAAGGTAAACGACAGCTAGATTTCTCTTTAAATGGATGTTATCTAAACAAATGCAGACTGTATCAGCGCTAGTGAATGCTCCCCACTCACGCTGTTTTTTATTCGTAGTGGCAGCGAAGGTCCTGGACCTGCCAAAAAAGCAAGATTCTGATCTCCAAAGAATCAAGGTATCAGGATAAACAAGGGAACGTCACATTCTATCAGCGTCTGTCGATGATTCAACTGTCTTTCCGAAGGACCATTAACTGATTTGTGCACGCAACTAATTGTAACTGCATTCGGGAAGCTATAAAGAGATCACGGTCTATCGCGCAAAGAGTCAGAATAGGACACCAGTGTCATTGCCTGATTATACTGGATGTAACGGGGCACCCTGAAGCTCGTACTGTTACCAGTACAAGCTTCAGGGTGCCCCGTTACACCTGGTAGCACTTCCTAGTCCGTCCAAGGACCACGTTCACATCCAACATGAATATGTTGGATGATGAAGATGACCAAAGCTTTCACGCTACGCGTGACGTCAACTCCCATTTGAGCGATGTCGAGTGGGATGCGGTTGAACGAATGGGTTCAACCATGGGCATCCATGCTGTTAGCGTCATGCTAGAGGCTCTCAATAGAGATGCCCAACATGCTACTATCGCCAAGTTCATTCAAAATGAACTTGCCGCTGAACGCGAGAAAGTAGCCTTGCTTCACCAACAAGGTTCTCAACAAGCAGAGTTGTTGAGAGAACAGGATGCTCAACAATTTGAACTGTTGAGACAACAACAGGCTGCTGCTGATGGGTCGATGCACTCGCGTCGACCCGAAACCTTAAAGATTGACATCTCCAAGCATAGGGGAGTCGAAGAGGACTCCCTCTTGAGATGGTTCGTCGAATTGGATGACGCCATAGGGCGCGTCGCATCGACGACGGGGATATGCAAGTTGCATTTGCCCAGTCAATTCTGGCAGGACGTGCCAAGACTTGGGCTTTGGGGCTCAAGTTGCACGACCCATATGCGTTTGGGTCGTTGGAAGTCTTCAAGTCGCGGTCTGAAAAACGTTTGAACCGCCTAGAGCTGAGTTCAGACCTCGAACTGAACTCTTGAAGCTTAAGCAGGGTAAGCGTGATGTGCACGCTTACGCGCAACATATACGACATCTTGCGAGTTGTATAAGTTCCAATCCGGTGGATGAACACACGTTGGTTTCGGTGTTCATGCAGGGTCTTGCGGATGGTCCCGCCAAGACTCACCTGTTCCGGCTTGAACTATATTCACTAGAACAAGCCGTTTCCATTGCGGAACAGGAAGACTTCAGTCTGAGACAGGCTCGCGCCAGCTCGACATCGTATCGTCAACCGAGACGATATGACAGCGGGGGTCCAGAGCCGATGGAACTCTGTTATGTAGAGAGCGAGAAGGCTCGCTCTACAGACTACAAGAAGTTGCAGAGATGCAACAGATGTCAAAATACAGGACACTACGCTTGCGAGTGTAGTGCCCCTCGTCCAGTGTCTCGCAACACTGGGCGTAGTGACCGTCCACCCATGAGAAAGGGGCAGGGACGAGGGTCCGCTGTTGGTGCAAAGACGCAACAACGTTATGGACCGTAAAAAAACGGACAGGATCAGTAGGTGCGGAGCACCCTATTCGTCCAGCAACGTCAAGAGAATTTTGCAGGCCTCTTGATGAAGGTTGCTCCCAACACACAAACGTTGTGCGTTGCTGCTCTAGGTAATGAGATCTCACTCATTACCTTTACACTCGAAGTGACGAATAAGTTGTCCCTTCGAGCTCTAGTCGATTGTGGGTCGTCCAACAATTTTGTGCGACGCCAATCGCTAGAAGATGGTCACTTTAAGTTCAGTGAATGTGACACACCTCCTACGAGGATGACGGTACGTATTGCGACAGGCGCATCCTTAACCGTCATGAAGCGTATAGTGAGGATCCACTATACGCTAGAAGATACCCAATATGATGATGACTTTATCGTATTGGAATTGGATGACAAATTTGATGTCATCCTTGGAATACCGTGGCTCAGAAGGTACGAACCACGGGTTAGCTGGCAGCATCGATCCGTGAAGATGCCTGCCGCTTGTTCATCAGATGGCCATCTGATGAACGTTTTGGAGCGTCCACAAGCGTGTGGATGTGCTACGAGTGAGTGCGATGGCCTCACTTGTGGTACGGTCGTTAGTACGACTGCACAAAACCTTAGTGTACCAAACGGTTACACTTCGGAGCAAAGTTCCGGCGGCTGTGAGGAAACACAGGCTGCGCCGAAGGTCCACCACTCGAATAAGTCGAGTGGACCGGGACAAAGATGTATCCCTAGTGGGGAACATCTAGAAGAGAAACCATCGATCGCTCAGGTGAAGCGAAACGATAATCCTAGATCGACTGGAGAGTCTTTCGTAGAGGATCTCGCTGTGGTTGCGCAACCCCAGCTAGAGGAAGCTAAGGGAATAAGTCCCGATATTACGAATACGGCGGAAATAAGTTCCCCGAAACCCGCGGGAATAAGTCCCCGGGAAGCCGAAGGAATAAGTCCTTCGAGGCCTGAGGGAATAAGTCCCCAGGAAATGACAGAGATATTGAATGTCCTAGTCAATAACGGATCAAGTGTAGGCGCTTATACACTTGATCTGATTGCGCCTCCGAAGTTGACTTCGGAGATCACTCAGATGCCAACGCTGAACATAAAAGGTTCTTGCGTGATCTGCGTAGTGGCAAAGTCAAGCAGATCTGCATACTCGTCGCTGACGACGAGTGTGTAGCCGACATAAGGTCAGCAACAGTGTTCACTGAGAACGAGAGAGTTCTCAGTAGTTCATCTATGGACGAGAGTGTCCTAGATGAAAAGACACGAATTGAGCGATATGACTCCCAATCGTGGGAATCGCTCAAGAAAAATCCTCTCTATGAAGATTTGGTTGAATTCAAGGATGTATTCCCTGAAACTGTTCCGTGCGAATTACCGGAGGATAAAGGCATTCGACACGAGGTCGAGCTTAACCAGGCTCGAAGTACTGTGTCATGAAGCAGTGGCCACTGCCTCGTGAACAAGTACTTGCGATCGACAAGTTCTTTGCCTATCGTTTAGCTGCGGGCCATGTGAGGGAATAGACTTCCCCACATAGCTCTACGACCTTCTGTGTGCGAAAAACAACAGGAGTGTGGCGGATAGTGCATGCATTCAACAAGTTGAATGCTGCAACGGTACCGTCTCAGACGCCGATTCCAAGGAAGGACGTAATCATTGATGGTATGTCAAAGAGTACCATCTTTTCGTCCATGGATTTGATGGATGGCTTCTATCAAATCCTTATGCGAGAACGGGATATACCCTATACCGCAGTTAGCACGCCTAGCGGCATGCTCTGGGAATGGCTAGTAATGCCACAAGGGTTAAGTAATGCCCCTGCCACGTTCAACAGATGTGTATCACATCTGTTGAGACCAGTACGAGAATTCACGCCGAGTTATTTCGATGACGTATTCATCGATAGTCGAGCTATGGATGGAAAGTTGGACGTTGAGGTTCACAGGTACCACGTCCGACAGGTTCTTACAATCATGCGAAAGCATCAATTGTATGCAAACCTCAAGAAGTGTATATTTTCAGCAAGCGAAATACCACTTCTTGGGTGCATCGTTGGTAAGAACGGTGTACGTCCTGATCCCGAAAAGATCAAGGCGATCACCGAATGGCCTGTGCCGGTTGACGTCAAAGGTCTTCGAAAATTCCTTGGGCTAGCGGCGTATTTGCATAAGTATTCACGCAATTACGCCGAGATGACTGTGCACTTCTCTCGTTTGTTGAAAAAGAACGAGAGGTGGTTATGGAACGCTTAATGCCATCGCTCCTTTGATGGTATCAAGCAGAGCTTGATACAATTCCCAGTCCTAGCAATAGTCGATCAGGACAGTCCATTTCATGTAGTCTGTAATGCCAGCAATTTCGCAATCGGCTGTGCAAAATGCAGTACGATCTTGAAGGCGTTGAACGCGTCGTCTGCTATCAGTCGCGTCAGCTGCAACCAGCTGAGCGGAACTATCCAGCGCATGACAAGGAACTCCTTGCCATGAAATATGCACTCGCGAAGTTCAGAGTCTATCTACTAGGAGATAGACCCTTCATTGTTCACACTGACCATGCGTCATTACGCACGGCAGTGAACAGCCCGCACCTTTCACAACGAATGGCGCGGTGGTTGTCATTCTTTGCAGAATACAACTTTACGGTCGATTAAGAACCAGGACGACTTAATGTCGTCGCTGATGCACTCTCACGTCGTCCCTACTTTGAAACAGTCGTGAAACCCAACAGTGAGACAGTCACTGTTGCGGTTATGACGTCCTCAGTCCCATCTACAACATTGTATGATGATGTGAGGCGGGCGTATGCCCAAGATGGTGAGATTGTGAAGTTGTTGACACATCTCTCACAACCATCTCGAGAATCGTTGAAACGATTGTCGTCTGCGTATCGATCTGCAATAGATCGATACACTACTCGCAACGGTTTACTGTATTATACAGCCGTTTCTGGTGACACACCACGTGTTGTCATTCCAGATGATACTGATCTGCGTTTGCGGATCATGTTCGAGTATCACGATGCTCCTATAGGAGGACATCGTGGCCGGGAGAAAACATATCTCACGGTGAGTCGAGACTTTTACTGTCCCCGCCGGTATCAGTTTGTGCGAAAGTATTTTCGCGCATGCGAAGTCTGTCAACGAGTGAAGTCAAGTCCTTCACTGCGTGCACCTTTACAGCCTCTACCGGTTCCGGCAGAGTGCTGGAAATCCGTCTCAATGGATTTCGTCTTCGGGTTACCTAAAGACGCACGCAGGAAAACGGGTATTCTCGTATTTGTTGACAGATTCAGCAAAATGGTACACCTTGTGGCTGTACCAGAGACAATCACGGCAAGTGGCTTTGCTTGTGTCTTCATCGACACCATCTTCCGACTTCATGGGCTGCCCCGTGAACTCGTATCAGACAGAGATCCACGCTTCACTGCTAATTTCTGGTGTTCCGTGTTCAAATCACTCGGAACGCGCTTGAAGATGTCGACATCTGATCATCCAGAGTCAGATGGTCAGACGGAACGTGCCAATCGTGTCCTTGAAGAGATACTTCGAGGTTACGTACACTCCTTTAAGAGTTGGAGTGAGTTTTTGTTAATGGTAGAGTTTGCCATTCACAACTCGGTGCATGCGTCCACGACACATACACCGTTTTACGTGAATGGCTTGCGCCATCCGCGTGTACCCACCTTACTCGAGTGTAACTCTGGTTTAAGGGGGGGAGAAACTCGCGCGAGCAAAAACCGATTTGGTTCACGCTCATCACGCTCTGACGAAGAGTTCATTGCGTTTGATGCCGATATCAACAACATCGATATCGAAGAAGATGATGCCAGTGAGAGTGCGGAAGCCCTCACTGAAGAAAAGGTTGATGTTGCTGCAGTGCACTCACAGCGCACTGAAGCTAACGAGTCATCAGATGAGTTCATACTGGCTCGTGAAACGGTAGTCCGTTTTGTGCAAGACTCCATCGCCGAAGCGGTGGATAAGCAAAAGCAAAACGCTGACAAGAATGGAAGGGCAAACACTCTTTTATTTAATAAAGGTGACTTAGTCCTCCTGTCTACAGTTAATCTACCAAAGCAAGTAGTGACTAACTTGGGTAGCAGTAACCTACTACCCAAGTACATTGGCCCATTTCGTGTATTGCATCGCCCAGGCAATGCATACACGATCGAGTTACCACGTAAGATGCAAACGCATCCCATGTTTTACGTTGGTCGGCTTAAGCCTTACCATCAGTACGCTGTTTCTTCCGATGAAGAACGCCCCTGCGCTCAAGCATCTCACAGATGGCCTTGTGCTCCCGATGGTGGGCATCAACAAGGGTCTGAAGAGCAGTAATCCCATCCCGAGACCGATCAACAATCCCACGAGCTACCCTTAACTCGTCACGAAGAGATGTTAGAGATCTCTCGTTCTCAAGCTGAGCAAAGGCAAACTCAGCTCGATGCTTCGAGACAGT